CAACGGAATGAGGGAAACAGAGGGAAAGGGGCTGGCACTTTGGGGGAGGTGGAACCAAAAGGGGGAAAAGGAGGAAAAGTGGAAACGCGCGGTGCATAAAGCGTAAAAATGAGCCAAAATAAATAAGAAAGCCGCAAACGGAGCCACGAAGAAGTCGAAGTGCTTTTCTTGCCAAAAAGAGACGGCAAGGGGGCAAACGGAAAGAGAGGGAGACAATGGACTCGACGGCCCTTTGATTGATTGGTTGGCAACGGAAGCGTGACGTCACAGACAGCGGCTGAAACTGCCAACAATCCCACAGATTTTCACTATCCGGAAAATCAAAAATCCACATGGAAACTAAAATGCAAATGCTATTACGATTGGTAAATTTATTTTGGGAAATAACAAATATAAATATGAAATATAAAAAGCATAAAGAAATGTTTCTTATTTCATCAAAATCTCTTTAGCTTAAAAATTAAACTTTCTGTGGCAAGGTTTATAACATTAATAAGATTAATTGTATATTTATTGATGAATTAGATATATATAGGTATATATTTAATTTCAGTATGTCTTACATTTCACAAACACAATATTAAATATGTCCACGTTGATATATAAAACAAATCCAATACACCTTCAACATATGGAGGTGAAAAACTGAACTGCAGTTGTTTTCTCACTGCAATCACAACTGAGATTGGCTGGCCATATGTTTGTGGGTTGGGAATTACCTTAACCTACTTCCCACTCCCCCTTTCGCAGTGCCTTTCACCCACTTCACCCACTGATTGCTGGCCAATTGCCTTTGGACCTGGCTCAATGTTGGTTTACTTTAGTTTAGTTTAGTTTGACTTGACTTGAGTTTGGTTTGGGTTTGCTTTGCTTTGCCTAGCTGCCATCTACTAACAAGCCGCCTCACGAAATTCTTCCGCAATTTTCACATAACTCAGCGGTGGAAAAGGGGGATGGAGGAGGGAAAGGGGGACTGCTGGCAATTTTCACGCTGATTTCTCCTCAGGTTTTCCACTCTGCGTATCAGGATCGTGTGATCTGCCCCCTCGGAGACGCATGATCACGTTGGGCTTACGCATCATTTAATGGGTTCGTGAAGTGAACTTGCAGCACCGACTTGTTGATGGAAAAGCCAACTTCGTAGCAAGGGGGCTTTTCCCTCTTTTCTTTCTACCGAGATGATGATGATGATGATGATGAAGAAGAAGAAGAAGAAGGCACCCACCAACTGGGCATACAACTTTATCACTTGCCCACAAAATATCTTCAATTGGTTCCATTAAACTTAAGCTGCGATCCCTGAGCACGTTTCTGCATCAACTCCATGACCACCACCTGAACCCCCTGCGCATCCACTCAAAAAACACTGGAAAAAAGCTTTAATTAAAGTGAATACCAAAGTACATATTGCTAAAAAATGACTAATATAATTTGCACAATTTATATGTCAATCAGAGAGTATAAAAAAATTCTGTTTGCTATTTCTATTTTTTTACATTAACAACTTATAGACAATGATTTTTTTTATGAAGACCATTTGATTTTCGAAGAATTATATTTAAATATTTTCAAAATAATTTGATTCTTAGAACGACTACAAAAATATTCAATAGCAAACAAATATAAATTCAAATTTTATAAGTACAAATGATGATTGTGTGATTTAAAAATGTTGATATAATGAAAGTTGATATAAGAATTGTAGCGAGAATGGAGTTATATTTAGGATGCGATCCAGGAAAACTATATTTTAATAGAAAGATACAAAGCAAATGAAACTTTTATATGGTTTGTCATAACTTGTTAATTTGTTAGTCCGAGTTGCTATCAATTTTGTTAAGTGCAGTTGGTGCGGCTTCCTTCGTGCGTTGCCATCATCATCGTCATCCACATGGCCGCATGGCCGCGTGGTCGTGCCCAAAATTAACCTGACCAGGGCATGATCATGAGGAGCAGCATCAGAATCGGCGGCAGAAGAAGTGGCAGAAGTGGCAGAAGCGGCAGTTGGAAAGCAAAAGGAACGCAGTCCGAGGCTCGCTATAAATTCTATTGGCGTATCTATCTACACTATTTCTAATTTGGGACTCTCCCCCTTTTCCTTACCCCTTTTCCCCCCTCCTCTTCGGGGAAAATGTGGGGGTATTTTTTTTTTTTGGTGGGATCTCGACTGGATTAGCTCGCAGCTCGCAGCTCGCTTTGGCCAATTTAAGTTTAAGTGCTTTGGTAACAGTTTCGCGCTTTCGAAACTTGAGTCGTGATTTATTTTCCGCCGCCTCAGCCTCCTCCGCTCGAGGAATGCCTCCTCGATTCTCCGCTCGCGTTCTGTGGGTTTTCCTCAAGTGCCGTTTTTCACGCCACGACACGCAATCGCCGCGGCCCGGGTAAATTAGGAAAATTGATCTAAATTTTCTTGGGAACCTTTGCCATTCCAACAAAAAAAAAAAAACAACTAAGTAGGATCGTCAGCATTCGAAAAAAAAAGCAACTGGATAAAATAAAGGGCCAACCATCAGACATATGCTTGGCAAAGAAAAGAAAAAAGAAACAGAAAAACCTGAGGGCTTTTCGCCAGTGGCTGCGGCTCATCAGCATTTGTCCAATTAAAATTCAATAAAAATTCAGGCGATTCCTGCGAAAATGAACCCGGCAACTCGGGCCGCTTATCATAAAATTGCGAATCTCCAAATCGGGGGCATGACTAGGAGCAATCAGTACAAGTTCCATGTAAACAGTATCGGCATCAGGGAGCCGGGGAAACTGGCAACAACAAGTCCCAGTTAAAAATCTTTGCCGGGTCAGCGACAAAGTCAAGTGCAAGACGCAGTCAAAAGCTCCAAGCCAACGGCTCCTTCGGTTCGCCTACACTTAGAGAAAAATTGGAAAGAATTTCCAAGGCAGCTTTAACTAATTTCAAAAATATAATAACTAAAATGCTAGCCATGAAGATAATTGTTTTTTATGTAAGCCAAAGTTATTTTTATTAACTGCAACTATTAATTTCTTTTTCTTTCAGTGCATTAGTAGCCAGGCAACAAATGGTGCAGTGCATCAGCGGAGCAGTGTGGCATGCAACCTGAACTTGCAGCTCGTTCGGTCGTCACATAATCTGCTCCAAATCAAAATTGCTTATTAAACGTGGAGAGCGCGAGAGCTTCGAGTGCAGAGGAATGGTTCTGGCCACTCGGTCTAGGCCTTCCTTTTGTTGGTATGATGTGCAGCCAGTTCTGGCCAAAAGGATCTGAGAACTAGTTCAAAGGGAGTTTTACTAATAATAAATATACGTACATACATAAAATTTATGTAAATAATCTTGAATAAATAATTGAATTAACATAGGTATGTTAATTGAATACTTCAAATGTTAAGCTAACCTAACTAAGAGATAATTTACAAAACCAACAAATCATTTAAACTATTTATCACATTTTATGTAAAAGAAATTTACACAACAATTTCTTTACTAGTTACCTATTTTCCAAAATCTTGCCAGTTTTTAAACCATGAACCAAAGATTTGAGAACCAAACTAATCATCTCAACGGGAAGCTGCGTAGCTGCCAAAACGAATCTGTCGCCGCATCGGATATCGTGTATATCGTATATATATAAATGTATATATATATATATATATGGCCAGTCAGTGGAAAAGGAACGGCGAAGAAAAATTGCTGCCGAATTCTGAGGCCACAGACACAATCCAGAATCCAGAGTCCAGAAAACAAAAAACAGAGTTCGAGTCGATCACGATTGCCTCTCCGCTCGAATCGAGGATCGAGGATCGGGGATCGGGGATCGGGAATCAGGGGATTGGGGATCGGGGATCGGGGTTGGAGAGTGGAGGCACCAATGGAGGCAATGGGTCTTCGACTATCTTGATGGGCATGGGATGCGATGCGATGCGGCGCTACAGGCTCAACTCAGCCGAATTGAGCATTGATCGACGATGACGATGACGATGTCGACAGGATCAGAGTTGCCCACTCAGATATTTAGTTAGCCAACCTAAATCGTATAAAAAATGCTTATATTAAAATGTACTTCTTTTTATTATATACTCAAAGTTAAGTGGCTAAATATTTATTAAGACGAAACAAAATATTTCCAATGTGTTCAATACAGATTGGAAATTGCTTTTGTATATTTCCCAAGTAAATATATTTTCTTATAACATACAATACAATTTATATGTATTTGCAGCTTTAAAGCTAAAACCTTTTAAATTCTAAGTCCCTTTCAACAGAATTTATTTTATTTAATTTCTACATTTTCTCCAAATATTTTCTAGCGCATTTTCGCAGCACTAAAGAAAAGCGTGATGCACTTCTTTCTGGAGAGTGCAAAGCTGCCAATGAACCAAATCCAGCCTCTGGTCGCGGATCTATCTCAATTCCTACATTTGACCTGTGAACCGTAATGGATTTTGTATATATTATAATTGCCGACCGTGCTACACAATCTCCTTAGGTTTTGAGTGCGCTTTTTCGACTGGAGTTGCTCTTTTGGTTGGTCGATCAACCGATTGCCTCGGAAGCAACTGCATTCAACTGCATTCGAAGCGCTGCCCTCGACAATATCTTGGCAAATGGATCGCGAAATGCGATCTTTCCGAGAAGAAGACAAGTTGAGAGAGCCGCGGAGCTGCGAACTGATGGTGAGGGGGGCATTTCGGTGGACTTGTCGCATTAGCACCAACCTGAAAACGGGATTAGACCAGATTTATGGTGCCCTTGAACGATCTGCTGATCGGTGAACATGAAAGAGCGACTTGTAATGGCCGAAAAAGAGGAGAATCGGTGTCGAATGCCATCGAAGATTGGCACAGATCACTTGCTTTAGATCGCATACTGATCTAGATTGGAATAACTTAATAGTGCGCTTTTTCGTTGAATCGAAAATATGCATGAAATCACTTGTTTAAAGAGCTTTCAATTGGCTAATAAATGATTAAAGCTTTGGATGATTGCTCTGAATTAATTATGTTAAATTAAAAGTATTTGAAGCGATAGATAAACGTATACCATATATATTATATGATTTGCAGTTTATTTTGTTTCTTATAGACCATTGTATACAGCATCTCAGTAAAAAGCCGAATTTCATCGAGTTCACGTGTTCAAATCATTCCACATTCCACATAAACGCAAGCCACCGAACCACAGGTATTCATATGTAAAATAAAGTATCCGAATGTTCTGTAAATCACTTCCGTTGGGAGAACTTCACCTCGTTGAGTTCCTTTTCACAGCCACGATATGCCATTCCCACTCCGAATCCAGTGCCCAACCAAACGGGCCAAATGCGCCTCCGGAAGAAGAGTAAGGTGACCACCGATCCGATGACCAGACCTCCGATTCCCTTCACCAGAGAATCGGAAAAACAGCGATTCAGGGTTTCCCGCAACCGATCTTCGGGTGCAGTCGACATATTTGCTCTCGTTCCAGCTGATTATCGGAAATTTATGAATTTGTTTTTGCTGCCAGATGATGTGACATTAACCAAATCGAAAGGGCTAAAGCAAACAACTACGGAAATCTCCGGGGTTACTGGGATTACACAAAAGTTCAAATGTTCCAGTTGAGTCCGCGTGATTTTAGCCCATATCTACTTAAATTCCTGTTGCCACATTAACAGCTCAGTTGGCCAAAAGCGGGATTATAACTCCGCTTTGAGGCTCTGCGGAGCCACTTAACCTTGTTCAAGCAAATCGATCACGATCGATTTCTGCCAAAATAGATAATAATCGATACGTACTCGCTGGCCCAATCTTCGGCCATCTTATCGATCTATATGGGCATGCAACATGCGATTCCGAGTTCCATTCTGATTCCCAGTTGGCCAATACACTGGTACAAACAAATTGAAGATACTAGACTATTTTCACAAGAAATGAATAACTTATTTAAAACGAATGACAAGTTTAGGGAGCTTACATTATATATATTAATGTATATTAAAATGTGATATTTAAACATATTTATTTCAATTATTATATTATCAATGTATACAATATGTTCGGTTATTTTTTCTGTACAACTTAGCTTGCACCTACAATCAACCATTCGAGTTCAGCCTCGACTTTGGATTTGGCTTCAGTTTGTGCCTCGGCAGCTGGTTAGCCGGGTAATCATGTCAGCATAAGGCAGAATACCGCAACATTATTTTTATCGATATGGCCCAAACACTGGGCCAAAAAATGAAAATTCAAAGGAATGATGGAGTAAGAGTAGTGAATGTCCAGGATATCAAGGTTGTCAATAATATGAAAATAATAAATTGTCTATAAAATCGTTTGCTAATGGGGTAACAGTGCATTTTAAATTTCATTCGGGGAGAGTGGATCAATAAATAGACTGGTAAAAAATGTGTAAATAAAAAGGATTTCGTTTTATCACTACCAAATAAAAACGTAAGTTGAATTAATTAAGTTACTGGGAAATTCTTACGTTCTGGAAATTCTTTATAAATTTGCTATATTTTCTCAAAAGAAAACGCTATTCCCATCCATATTATTTACATTTCCGGAGAAGCGTATTCCCGGTTCACCAGTTCGCCCAACTCCCAACTCCCTACTCCCGATTCCCAAATCCCAACTAGCAACTCCCACCGAAAAAAAACCCACTCCGATTTTGGCCGACTGCTTGGGAAAACGGCGCAGGCGACCGTGTTGACGTGTTAAGTGCTTTGGCCAAGAGATGGCCCCGAAAAAAGGCTGAGCAGAAAAAAGAAGGCAGCAATTGGAAAAAAGACTTGAAAAAGTCCGTCTGCTCTTCCACTTGCTTGGGCTTAGGCTATAATTTCAGCTCACCGCCCACCATTTTTTGGGCTTTTGTTTTTTTTTTTTTTTCTTTTTATTCGAGGCGTTTGGGGGCGCAACGGAGCTTAACTCGAAAATTGCAAATTCGGGTGTTCAATCGAGTCAAATCCTTTTCTATTACCAACTCAGCCGCTGCGCTGCGCTCTGTGTTTAAAGAAATTGTCGGCCTCATGAGCAATTTAATGCCTGATTTGCCTTTGCCTTGTGCGATTTTAACTCCGACTCTGGCTCCGATTTAGCCAGGAACTCCGTTCTTAGCCTTTGGTTGCATTTTCATGCTTTTCCCCCCGGCCACGTAGGTGATTCCCGCTTTTGGGTGTTGGCACAGTTTTCCGCCTGCGAATTTTCCCTTAAGGATGGGCGTGAACCTCAAAACTGAGCAACGGAGTCAATTGTTTTATTAACTGACTTCTCAAATGTCCACAGTTTTTTTACTCCCAACTTCTGAGCTCAATAAAATGGATAAGGATTCGGATATTTTAGAAATTAATGAATTTTAATGGGCGACATTATAAAAGTATATGTAATGATTAGACATTATAAAAATATATGTAATGATTCGAAATTAATTCTAAATGCATTGGAGATGAAATAAAATAAACTACTTACTTATTTTTCATCAATTATTTATTTAGGAAATTAACTTTAATTTTTAGAAAATAAAAAACTAAGCTTTGGGTACAAAACCACCTCAATATCTGCGATTATCAGTTGGTCAGTTGAGCACAGCAAATTGGCCAAACTACTCAAGATCATAATGAAGACATTTATGGACCCGCGACCGGATTCAATTGTGCGGCATTCAACAATTTTTGCAATCAATGCGAATCGGACTAGGAACGGGAATAATGCGATGGCCTTAGGGTACTGAATGCATCTATGTGTACACCTGTGGTCAACATATTAGTAATGCTTCAATAAAAATAAACAAAATTTAAGTGTATGCTGAATAATCAAATACAAGAAGCAACCATATTGTACGAAAAAAGTAAGCTTTAAAATTATTTAAATTGGTTTTATATAATATGTTTGTGTTCATTAAGAAATGTGCGTTATATTCATTTATTGTTTAAAATAGTAAACAGATTTAAAAAAATGTAATTTAAATTATTTGGGAGTAGCTTTCGACATTGTTTTGGAATCCCAATCACATTCATGTACATTTTGTTAATCCTTACTAAATTTATTTATCTGTGTCGTATAAAAGCACCTAAATTTGTGATAACCCCAGGGGCTTTGTGATTTTTTTGCTGACCCCACCTGTGGGCCCGTGTGTGTGTGTTCTGTGTGCGTTGGGTGGGTGTCCCTGTGGCCGATCGTGCTCCCCAAGACTGGCGATTTGGAGGCGGGGGGCGGGGGCGGGGGAATCGGCACAGAGAACAACTCAATGAGGCACATGCAAGTCAAAACATTGGACCTGGACCTGGATTTCGGACTGGGCTTGGACCCGAGCCCGCTGGCCATATGCTCGCCCGCTCTCATCAATTCCGACTTGGGGGCCTTGGCCAGGCCTGTATTTTTTGCCTTTTTCTTCTTCTTTTTGGCCAGGGATCTGAGCCCGGTCCACGCTGGTTGGCTGGGGCTCATTATAGATGCAGCGCCGATTTGTTTTGTTGTCCCCCCATTTGACTTTGAATTGATAGCATCAGGCAGCAGCCAACATCCAACTCCGTCGGCGGCTGCTGCTCAGTGCTCAGTTTTCCCCTCCTCTGCTTTCCATCCTGCCGGGATTTTCCTTTTCGCCTGCCTTTGAGATATATATAAATGTATTTGAACAATTGAGTGTGCTGCGCATGCGCGCTTGCCCAGTGCAAATATTTTAGATTCGCATAAACTTTGCATAGTTTTTGCCCGGCTTTCCGCTTCCATTTCTCTGATTTTTAAAACGCCTGCACAGTGGGTAAATTACCTAAAGGAGTTCGCAATTAAATGTAATGACTCCGTGGCTAAAAATATTATTATTATTATCTAAAAGGGAATGGTTGCGTGAGAGAAAGGAATTAAAATAAACCATAAATATTTGCATATAGTGATAATAAAGCAAGTGACTGTATATTTGCTCATTTTAGCATGCCATTGTTCATTTATTTTTATATATTATTATTTATTTTAATTAATATCTCACACTTCTTAAAACATTTTCTCATCATCGCTTTTCTGCATTATTTAATTGGCAAATCAACTTTAACAATTCGCTGTTCGAGTTTGAAGAAAGCAAATCTAGAGCTTAGGGGAATTCCCACTCACGACCACTGTTTTTTATGACTGCGTGTGCTCCGAGTTGTCCACGCACTCTCTGCAGTCACTGTAACTGCAGTTTTTGCTTTCCTGTTCCCGTTCCCGTGTCCGTGTCCGTTCGCGCTGTCTTCACTGTGGCGCGGTGCCCTGGGCTGTTTAGCTGCGCATTTTTATTTAACATATCATTTAAAATTCATGTAAAACACATGTAGCTGGGCTGCGGGCTGCTTTGCATACGGTGGGCATAAAGTACGAGCCAGCGGACAAAACGGACACACGGACAAGTGCAGGGAAACAAAAACTTTAAGGTGGCTAACAAATAATAATTTTTTGTTTGCAAATTGGTTATTAAATCCGTATTTATTAACCAAAATATATACCAATTAATATTAAAAATATTTTTAAATTTATTCTTAAGCTTCATAATAAAAATAATTTGAAAACATTTTTCTTTAAGCTTTAAATTATTTTAAAAATACCTATTATTTTATTACCCCTCTGTTTCGTTCAAATACAATAGCAATATTTGCTATTTACCCATTTCTTTATCTAATATTTAATTTATATTTCTTTTCGTGTACGGACGGACAAGACTAGCGGACAGTGGAACGGACACATCACACCCAAGCGCCAGGAGGGATCGTTTGTGGGAAGCGGAGGAGGGATCGGGGATCGGGGATGGGGAATGGGGATTGGGGAATGGGGATTGGGGGATGCAATACCCAACCCAACGAATTCATAAGCAAAGGCAGAAGGTCTGTATCTGAAGTCGCATATCTGGATAGGCGAGGATTTGGCCATGGGTTCCTTTTGCCGCGATGAAGATGTCGCTTGTTGCTTGTTGCATGCTGCATTTAATTTGTAAACAAAGTCTTTAGTTTATGACTTGAAGTTTTATTTTAGCATATCTAGGCTCCTCCCGCTAGCATTTTGTTGGAAATTTGTAAACAATTCGGAATTCCAGAACGCATCATTGCCAAAGCAATTTGCATATGCAGAGGGGCCGAGAACCGAAAGAAGTTGAGGACTGGAGAACTTCAGATCTGGTCAGTGCGATCTGCGGGTTGTGGGTTGTGGGATCGGGGATCTGGTATCTGGTATCTGGTATTCCGGACAGAAGCCATTGTTGTGGCCTCGAGGCTGACCTTTTGGCCCCCTCCGCCGTTTTGGCCGTGGCAGCCGTAACAAATCAGCAATGACGTGCCCCGACACTAAATGCAATTTATAACACTTTTTTTTTGTGTGCTCCTCTCGGCTTGCCCCTTCTCTGTTCCATGCCTCTCGGTTGCTTCGCCAGCGAAGATTGTCAAACAACTTGACTTAAAGGCAACTTAACGAGCAGCCCCCCGATGAACGACAACTTCATCATGGGGTCGACGCGGTCTCCTCCTCAACGGAGGATGCTGTCATCGGCATCAACACACGATGGACCCGCGGTTCCGTGGACCCCGAAAA